GGGTTTAGGGTTTAGGGTCCTATCGGCGCTCTTCTAAGGGTGTTAAGGCCACGAACCACCAGAAGGGCCTCATCGGCCTTTTTTCTTTGAGTGTCATTTTGTAGGCTTGCACCTGCCTCCGCAATACTCGAAACCCTTAGAACCCTAAACCCTAAAATCCTAAACCCTCAGGACCCTAAACCCTTAGAGCCCTAAACCCTAAACCCTAAGCCCATAAAACCTACAGTAGATTGAACCACACCGACAACCCCTTTGGACTGGTGGCATGGTAACGGTTTTGAAGGTCTTATGTTCCTCAAGCCGAAAGACGCTTACAGGTAACCGAAAAAAAACCTACCTTTTTTAAGGACTTTTATATAGGAAACATGATAAGGAACCCTAAAAAGGTAGGTCTTTTCGGTTACAGGTACCCCTAATCCCCTAAACCCCCGAACCCCTAAACCCCTAAACCCCTAAACCCTAAACCCCTAAACCCCTAAAACCCTAAACCCCTAAACCCCTAAACCCCCCTAAACCCCTGAAGCCCTAACCCCTAGGGTTTTTTTTGGGGTTCAGGCGGACATCCGAGGGCTCAAGGCTTGTGAAAGTTTCGCCGAGGTCCAGATTCCCAGGGTTTAGGAAGCACAGTCTTTGTTCTCCAATACTTAACCTTTAAACTTCCTGGGTTCTTATAATTTAGTAGCAATCTGAAAAGTTTAACCTTTTGTTTCCCTGGCTTATTGGGGAAGCACAGTCGAGTTTAACCTTCGGGCCTCCACGTCTGCTCATTGGAAGGGTTTTGGGGTTTTAGGGTTATAGGGTTTAGGGTTTTGGGGTTTAGGGTTTTGGGTTTAGGGGTTTGGGGTTTTAGGGTTTAGGGTTTAGGGCAAGGTTCCACCACCGCGGTCTACCCAAAGATGTATCCAGATACGTCCTCACCCGCTGTTTTCGAAGCACAAATACACCAACAAGAAATTATGAAGCCCGTTAATCAAAGGGTGCTTTTGGGGTCCTGGTAGGATTTGCGCTGCCGTACTAGTTTGGGGACCACTAATGTACAGAACTGCCCATAGAGATAAACTTTGGCCTCCACGTAGTCCCTATATGAGTACCCTTTTAAGGCCAATGTACATACCCATAGGCTCCTAAGTAGTTCCGTGTTGGGACTACCTTATAGGATTCTAAATATGAACCACAAAAAGGAACTACTTGGGTACCTACCATATGAGTGCATGGACACTTATATAGGGCTTGTGACCCTTGCGGAATGACGCGCGCTTTCCTTGTCCCTTTTCCAGGCTTTCTGTGCCGTGGGTCTTTTCTTCTTCGCAAACACGAGCATCTTCAATCTCAGCACGACGGCGAGGACGTGGGTGGCATTGGAGTGGGCGAAGACCGAAAACATGCAGCGACAGATTTCCGGCATGTTGGCAGCCGTCCTCAGTTTTGTCGGATGTTGGCTCACTCAAAAGTGGTTCCTGGGAGTCAGCTGGCGGAAAATTATCTGCGCAACTGGTGTCTTGACATCCCTGTTCGACTCCATTCCTCAGTTCTGCACGATTTTCGATATCATCCGGAACCAGTACTTCTATCTTGGTGAGCCTCTCACAGAGAACGTGCCGCAAGCCATGGCAGCACTCGTCTCTACTTTCATGATCAACGAGCTTGCAGACGACAGTGCCTGAGATCTTGTCAAGCAAGCCAGTTCAAGCTATAAGAGTGTAAACTTGTGACCCTTTTTATTTTTGGGCTTATGTAATCCTACCATAATTAAAAGATTAACCATTTTGGGGCTAGGGTACTCAGCCCCTAAGTTAATGAAGCCCTCAACCCTGAACCGGATCATGAAAAGTCAAAGTTCAAGTTCCTTATAACACCCTTATGAGCCCCTCGGCAAAGCCCTGCCAGCCGCTAGTCCTGACCTTGAACCCTATGCCGAATAGCGCACTAAATCCTGGACCCCTTACCTTTTGTAAAGCCCCTCCTTGGATCCTTTAAACAAGCCCTTCGTGAAGCCCCTTCTTATTCGCAGATCCTAAACCCCCCCACCTTTTGCAAAGCCCCTTCCTAGGCCCTTGGTGAAGCCCCTTCTTGTTCCTGGATCCTAAGCCCCCCATACCTTTTTGCAAAGCCCCTTCTCTTATTCGAAGATCCTAAACCCCCCCATTCCTTGTTCAAAGCCCCTTCTTAGTATGAGTTCCCGAGCAAGAGCCCAGGCAACTGCGCATTGGTGGCCGGTCTCATGAGCCTTGGGAGCTCAGTGGTTCCCTTCAAAAGGCTCCCTCCTGGGCTCTGTATGGGACTTTCCGAAAGTTAGGGTACCTTATTTTGGGGTCCTTATAGTCAGGATCCTACTATTTAGGGTTTAGGGTTTAGGGTTTAGGGTTTGGGTAGTTCTAAATTAGGAACCCTTTTTATAGGTCCCGAA